TAGGTCCCGCCTGAGAGAAAGAGTATCGACCCGGGAGGCTCTGATAGATGCAGAGCAGGCCATGCCTGCGAGGAGACAAGGAGACCCTGGCACCAGCGCTCAGCAGACTGTGGAGGGCTAGGAGAGCTCTCCCAGCAGCGCAGGTGGGGGCTCTTTGGGCAGGCGAGCTCCCAGGACAGCCTGTCTCCCTGCCCCTCCCCGTGCCACCATGCTCCACCATGCTCCAGGGTCCCACAAAACAGAGAGCCCTCAGCTCTCTGCACTGGGGAGCCAACACAAAGGCAGGACGCCAGGGTGATGGGCTCACAGATCTACATCCCATTAGCTAGGGGCATTTCTGCTCACCATCATGCATTGAAACACCATCCCCAGAGCAGGAACGAGCCAAGATGCTCACTGCATCCACCAAACCGAATCCCAAAGCACATCATCCACCTTCAGACCCACCAGCTGTGCTGCACACCCATGGCACGGCTCCAAACACCAGCCTACACCGCACGGAGGGAAGATGCCAGCAAGCAGTGGGGCCTGGAAGGAGCCTTGGGAGCAGCTGGGGCTGGGCAGGGAGGAGCAGCTCAGGACAAGGGCCAGCGTAGGTACAAAGGTGCATGGAGAAGAGCCCAGCTTTGCCACTGTGCAGTGCTGCTTGGTCTGAGAGACCCTAAGGTTTCTCAGGCTCTGTCTGCCTTCATCCATGGGGATGCTGAAGAGCTGGCCTGTTCCCCTGGGCCAGGGAAGAGCTGTGCAGGGGCTCATGGGGAGCCTATGAGGGCTCCTGAGAGCAGAGGCTGGGCAGAGGAAGAGGAAGAGGAGGGAGACCGTCCAGCCCTTACCTCTGCTAAAGATGATGCTCTCGTAGGGGATCTTGTTCTTGGTCTCGAGGCTGGAGCAGTTCCAGCGCTGGTCCCGGAACTGGTGCTGGCACTCATGGATGGCAATCTGGATGCCCTGGATGGCCGAGGCGGTGACGTCGGGGTGGCGCACGCACACCTCCAGCTGCCGCCGTGTCAGCCCCGGCAGGGTCAGGCACACCGTGTTGGCGTTCAGCACCGGCTCCGACGGCAGCTTCAGGCCCAGGATCTCATTGGAGCAGGAGCTGGGAGGGAAAGGGAAATGCATGAGCTTGGAGCAAGCAATGTGCCACCCGCTCCGCTCCCTTTCCCTTCGGGGAGGGGGAAGAGCTAGGGGGGGGACACATGGGGAGGGGAGATGCTCCTCAACTCACACTGTGCCCACTGCTTATAGAGAAGGCTGGGAAACCCCTGGGCACAATGGCAGCTCAGCCAGGCAGAGATGCCCCAGCAGCACTGGGGCTGCAATCCTCTCCAGCCATGTCGGCACAGCCTGGACACCCTGGCAGTCCGTGCCCAGCGGCAACCAAATTTGGCCCTGCTGCCTCTGGAGCCCAGCATCTCCTGGGGCTGCACTCCCTCTGTGTGCTCCCCCAGGGATCTCCCGCCCTGGCCATGCAGTGCAGACTCAGGCACAGACTGCCCCTGCTTGCCTTCCCCAGAGAGCATGGGTTTCCCCCTGGGAGAATCCAGAGACCCCTGAGCAGGAGATCCATCCCAGGTCCAGCTCCATCCCTGTTGCTGGCTGATCCCCTCCCTGCATCTCCTGTATCCCCCTGGCACTGCTGCTCCTCACAAGGGAGGTAACCGGAGGGACCAGCCTTTTCCTGCCACCTCGGCTGGGAAATCCGGAACCAAGCACCCTGCCAAACAACCCTCAAGCTCCCAGCAACAATCCCAAATCCACTGTCACATCCTAGCCCCACCGGACCTGATGCCTGCCACCACAGAAGCACAAGAGACCAGCAGATGGATGGGTGCAAGGGGAGGCACACGGTCTGTGGCGGCGGTGCAAGTACTTACACAAGGAGAGATGTTGCCTGGGGAAACAGGGAGGTAGATGGAGCGTGGGGAGATGGACAAAGCCTGTCCAGAGAGAGGTGCCTGGAGCTAAGACAGTGCTACACAGGACAGACGGATGCAGAGAGGGAGATGGAAGCGGAGCAAGTGTCTGCCCAGCTCCAGGGAATGGCTTGAAGGATCCTGGGATCCACAGTGTCCAAGCAGAGGAGCAGCAGGCAAAGCGAGCAGTAGGCAGCGGGATGCTCAGGAGCATCCTGCAGCTTGCAGCAGGGTCCACTAGGAGCTCAGCACCACCCCGCTCCTTGCTCAGGACAGCTCGGTCCCTGCTGAGAGCCCTCTCCAGGCAGGGCTCCCTCTTCCCCGGGACCGCCAAGAGCTGGGTCCCTGGGAGGAGCAGGGAGCTGGACCCTTTTGAGCCTTGATTAGAGAAATGAGATTTGGAGGAGGATGCTGGAGGAAGGACTGCAGCTGCCTTATGGAGCAGCCAGGTGTTGGGGAGAAGGGTTACTCCCCCTTCGTTCCCCCAAATCCTGCGAGCCTGGTGCAGGTACACAGACAGAAGCAGCTCCTGGGGACCTGGGACTGACTTCCCCAGCTCAGCGCTCACCCAGCTCTGGAGGAAGGGCTCACTCAGCCCCAGGGTCCCTGCTGAATCACAGCTTGCTCACGGGGGAAGGGGAGCTGTCAGGGTCAGGCTGCTGCTTTCTCCAGCTTCCCAAGGGTGTTTATATCCACCCCCTTCCACGGGTGACATGTGGGTCTGCCCCAGTGCAAATACTCAGTGACTCTAGCAGGGAGACTCGGGGTGGGGAGGAGCAGAGAGAAGGAGAGCAGAAAGGGGTGCATCCCTCCAAAGCCCCTACACAAGAGGGGAAACCCTCTGCCCAGCTCCTGCGCTCATTCACGCTGTTGAAGCAGGAGAGGAGACGAGAACCAGGTCCACAGCTACCATCATCCCCAAGCCCAGCAGCTTCTGCCCCAGGCACTACTGGGACCTAGTCCTCTGCCTGTCCTGAGCCAGCCATGATGCCTGTCACCTCCTCCCAGGGCATCCCGGGGGGGCTGTTACGGTCCTTCTCCCCACTGCACAGCAGGGAAACTGAGGCAGAGGCCCTTATCTAGCACCCCAGAGAGCGGAGGGCAGGTCCTTCTGCCTCTTGCTGCACGCAGGGCTCAGGGGGGCCAGGGACCGGCAAGGAGCTGTCACTGTCACGCTCCCTAGGAGGACACAGCGCTCCCCCCCAGCTCTCTTCCCCCTTGAAATCTGGATTTAAACTTGATTTCACGGTGACAAGCCCCCAGGTCACAGGCTGCAGCGGCTGCTGCTTTAATTAATACAAGTCCCAACGTTAACAAATTATATTTAAAGGGGCTGAAGGGAGGGGGAAGGGCGGGGGACCCCCCCCCACTCACACCAGCACCAGGGTTAACCCCTGGCTGCCCGCAGCCCACAAATTTGGGAGCGGGCGGAGGGGAGCTGCCAGCCACCCGGGGGAGATGGAGACGGACAGGGGTGGTGAGTGTTGGGGGGCCTTTTTCTGGAAGGCAGGCGGCCCCCTCTTACCCCGCTCGCCTTCGGGATCGCTGGAGCAGAGGGGGACGCAGGTGGATCCCCCACCCCGGTGCGGAGCCCAAAGGCACCCATCCCGTGGGCACCGTCCCCCGCGACAGTGGCATCCCCGCCGGCATCCCCCTCTGGCCTCCGCGGTGCCCCCCCGGCAGCGAGGCCCGTCCTCCGCCCGAGGAGAGCGGGGAAACTGAGGCAGGCAAGGGCGGGCGCTGGGGCGGCTCCGGCCGGGGAGGAAACGGGACAGCCTCCCGGAGCGGGGGGGGGCCGCGCACCCCCGCCGGGGA